AAAAAAAAAAAAAAAAAAAAGAAAGTGAATGAACTCTGTCTCACTCTGCACAGATGCACTGAACTCACATTTCTCAAAGTAGAAAGCAGATACTAAAAAAGGAAATAAGGGTCACTAGATATATATAACAAATCAGGATGTTTGAACTCCAAGGTCAGAAGGATTGTTCCACAGAATTCTGGGTGATGTGATAAGAAAGGAAAACACTGAAGGCTAGAGGATGATCCAGGACACAGCACATGCCTCAGATGATAGTGGCAGGTGCGCCGACCAAAGATGAGCATGCTTGCCTGAAGTCAGAATCCAGCAGTTAGTGATCTGGGTAAGACCTCTCCCAAATAGATGGTGAAATGGAAGAATGCCAGTACTTACATTTCAGGAAGATTATTTAGGGAAATTCCCTCCCAAAGAAATCAGAATTTCAAAGTTGTCAATATTTAAAACATAAAGTTACACTACAGAGAGAGAATGCCCATCATGATTTTTTTTTTTCAGGCAAACAAAGAAAAAGGGAAAATGACAGCCCCAAAGATGAAACTAAAATGTTTGAATTACAGGGTAGCTGCAGACTTTTCATCCAAACAGTAAGGTTTGCGGACAGCCAGCCAGCTGTCAGAGCGGTGGGAACAGTGCAGTTCGGCTATAGCCGGCAGCTGAGACCAGACCAGGGGCAAACCCACAGGCAGGGCATTTTTTTTTTAAAGCACCAAAGGAGAAAGACAGCAATGGAAAAATGGAAGGGTGAAAATAAATTACTAGACACCTTGACAAAAACCTGCCTAATTAAACAGTTTGTCCTTATACCCAGAATGCAAAGGAGAAATGAATAGATTCTAAATTCTAAAACTGTTTTAGAGAGAAAAAAACCCAAGCGTCAGTTATAAGATTTTGTATGAAGGGGATTCAAGGTGTGATTTAATATGACAAACATCACTGCTGAAACATTTCCCAGGACCAAGAAAGTCTACAACTTCTCTAAACACCTCTTTGGAGTTCTGCATTCCCAGGAGATTGCCATTGATCTATTTCCCATGACGAGCTTGGTGAGTAGGTAGACATCTGAAAGAAGCAGGCAAAGCAGTTCTCAATTAAGCAACTCTAAGGAATCCGTGAGAATTTTCACAACTGAACAAAGAAAGCTTTCCAGGCAGCCAAATACCAAGGAAATCACTAACGTTTATAGTTTATACCAGTGTGGTAACAATTAGCATATCCCAAATGACAACCTTACAAATTACCATACAAGAGAATGATGATTCAACTCTATATATTCAGATAGGTCAATAACTTTTGAAACTGAACAAAATATGGTATCCCTGTGTTTGATTCTAAGTAAGAACCCCTTAGATATTAAAGTCATTAAGAGCTCTAAGGGGCAGGGGGATGACACAAATGACATTACTTAAATCAAACATTTGCAACTAATACAGAGTAGCTCTGTTTTTGGAATGGGGTCCATGTATTTGATTCTTTTTTCAACCAGAGAGGATTTAGGACAGAAGGTAACTAGAAAACTTTCCAAATATTTTGGAAAGAAATAATACAGTCCTTTTAATCTTGCTAAGAAAAATAAATAAATGGAGGTGCAAAGAAAGTTAAAAAAAAAAAAGGTTTGCTACCACCTGTTCTCATGAGGAGGGTATTTTTCTTTTGCACATTTACTCTTAAAATTGTCTTAAAAAAATTATGTCCACCTATTCATTCCTCAGGGAACAATTATACACAATATCAAAAGAAAACCAAACAAACAAAACCATCCCATACAAGCTTGAAGGAAAAATTAATCTATGATCCAGATGTTTATAAGGTTTATAAAGGAGGAACAGACAGGATAAGATCTTTCAGGATAAATGGGTAAGCTTTCTGAAACACATTTTCCAAAAGAGGAGTGGAATTAGGAGAAACAAAATAAGCAAGCATCTAATCAGTCCTTCACCAAAACAAAGATGGAGGCCCAGGACTGACGCGAACAATAGGTTGCACATCCTCAAATAATTTACCAAGCCAGGCTTGTTTATAGAGGGTTACAGGTACAATTCTCATATTAACGTTTTTAGATCAATTTCCCACTGGGAAGAAACGAGTATGAGAAATTTTTCATTGTGGACATAAAATGTTTCTGGTTTCAATCCTTTCTAATGCTCTCACTCTCCAGTTCTCCTCATGCCCATGCAGAAACCCCTCCATCCAGAGCTCCTGTACTTTCCTTCTCTGTTTTGGTGAAAATACCACATTGATTGTAAGAATCTTACTAGATTTCCATTTGTTTTGACTCAGCTCCCACATTAATCCAAACAATAAGGGCCTTTAAAACATTCATAAATAACCTGCTGCTCCTGGCACCTAGGAGCCTAGCGCAGCAATGTTAAGCAACAACAAATTTCATAGTTCAAGAGGCACAGTTAAGCAAAAAGGTTGTTCAGGAAATCACTCTTATTTAGCACAAAGATCCTTAAAAATTGCATGAAATCATTCAAGTAACTATAGAAACCAATTTCTTCAGCTCCGTATCACACGTCTCACACCTCAATTGTCTTTATTATCGTCTGCTGTCAGATCCTTAATCAGAAATGTGAACAGGCTTGATGATTTATTCAGCAGGGAAAAGAATCTGTAGGTCAAGTGAAAAATTTCACACACACACCCATGCACACACATCTTCAACCTTAGGTACTTTCATTTCCTTCTGTTCTCAGCAGCTCTGGGGGCAACTCCAGTGAGATCCAATATTAAGGCTCAATTAAAATAAGCTCCAATTAGTGAAGCTTTTTTCTCTCGGGCTAGAAAAGTCAGGAAATGGATATTGGGAAATGTAAAAAGTCAGCTACTGAGAGGAGGCTGCAGACATAAATGAACTTATTTGTTGATTTCTACAGTTGCTATGCAGAGGCCTCTGGGAGTAAAAGCTTAACCAGTCTAAGCTATAAACTAAAACCCCTGCAGCTAAACATGAACTGTGTGAAACAAGGGCTCCATTCCAGAACAGAAAACTGCTGGGCCCAGAAAATTAAAAGCCAGAGGCGTTTTCCATTTAAAACTAAATCCCAGTACCACCTCCCAGCCAAAGAATTATAAGCAGTATCAGATTTACAAAACGAACAATTACCCTGGAAAAATGTAGCCTATTGTACAGTCCCAGATGCTAAATCTCAGAAGTTTCTTTTTCTATTTTATTTTTTTAATCCCACATTGTATTCCTCCAAGTACACTGCTCTAGTTCACAAAGAGCCATTTCTACATGGGCCTAGACCTAGAAAATAAATTTTAAAAAGAGAGCACCGTAACTCACTGACCTCATTCAAAGTACTGCCCTTGCCTTCAGCCATTCCTGTCCTTCCCCCAGGCTTGGGCAAATGGTTTGTAACAGCAAACGAAACCCTGACCTGATTGCCTGGAGAGAGCTGCCAACCCTCCCTCCAACACAAAGAGGAACGCAGCATGCGAACTTGCAAGTCCTACCTCTTTGGCTTTCTGCTTTAATCTCAGCTGTTCGGGATCTTCTTTATTGGATCGACTCTATCAAAGAAAAAGACAATTTTAATAGAAATTACTAACATCTAAACACCACAGTTGCTGTTAAATATTTAATAAATGACAATTTTCTCTTGTGATTGAAAATCCTAGCTCCAGGGGAAAATGCCTCAATCCAGGCTAGTGCATGCCCTCCTCCCTGCCCCCGGCCAGGCTGAGGCAGTCCTAGCCCAGAGCAAGCTTACACTGAAAATGATGCTAACACTGTCAGTCAGGTCCAGTTGAGGCATGACATTGTTCTCATTGGAACACTAAAAACTGAAAAACTGATGATTCAGATGAAGGAAAAGAAAAGAAGGGTGATTGTTGCTGAAATGAATGAAAATGATTTACAGTGGCTAATCTTCGGGTGAAGCCATTTTGGAAAAACATATGGGGTTTTGAGGGTTATTAAAATCAAGAACTTAACTAACTTTGAACTAAATCTCTCTCTCTTCAAAAGTGCAATTTTTAAAAATTAAGTAGGAAATACACCTCAGTATTTTCACTAGAGTACCTTATCATCTTTGGGTCCTCTGTAGCGCTTAACAGAATGCTATGCACAAGTAAAGGTTCAATAAATGTTTACGGAATGTCACTTTTCAGACTGATTCAGTGTAGCATTCCAAAAATGAACAATCTCACAGGACTACTCTAAGAAGACAGCCACCTCTCATGCAATGCTACAACGGAAGAAAGGGTAAGGAACTTTATTTCTGACACCATGAACACGTGTCCACTAAAAAATATGCTTGGGATAGGAGTATGCTTCTTCTCATTCCAACAGATTCATCTAACTCCTTATAAATCTGAATGTTTGCTCTATGATACGCAACATCAACTACCTACAGATAGCTAACTAGAGAAAAATTAAATGTCTTTTTCTATCTACTAAGTTTACCTGATATGTATACATTGATTTATCAGTACTTTTTCTAATGGAAAATACAAAAAAACTGTTCAGATTTAAGAAATCTTCTAATTTTAAAGTTTAATTAAATACCTAAGTAAGATCCTACCCAAAGCTAGATTTTTTCTTCATTTTGTCCCCAGTCTACTAAACCAACTTTACTTCAACCCAAACTAGGACAAACTCCATTTTTATTCTACTTATGATACTAGGAGAGAGTATGTGTATAAAATGTATATTAAAATATGTGTTTATATAATAATGTTCTGCCCCAGTATAAAATAAACACATATGGTATCAATTCTTTGTCAATCAACCAATATTTACTGACTATCCACCATACAAATTCTACTCTGTATGCCATTATTCTAGTCCTTGGAGACACAGAAATGAAATAACAAGACAGAAATCTCTGCTTTTGAGTCATATTTTAAGAAGAGAAAAATAATAAATGATTTTATAGACACTAAACACAGTTATGATGTGTAAAACATCTATGATGGGGAAAAATAAACAATCACTGGTAGTGATCAGTGCTATATAAAGAAAACAGAATAGAATAGTGAGATAGGAAGAAAGGAGCGGGGGACGTTCTTCAGCTGGGACGGGAGGGAAGTCTTCTGTGAGGAGTGACATTTGAGTAGAGATGTGAATGACAAGTAGGGGGTAGCCATGCAAAAATCTGGGGCAAGAATGCTCCAAGCAGAAGGCAGAGTCACTGCAAACGCCTTATGACGACAGGAACAGTTAGTTTGGCATACCTAGGAACAGAAAGATGGCCCCTGTGGTTGGAGCTTAGAGAAAAGTTGAAAGACATAAGGTTGGAGACTGTGTGCTGCCTTGTAGGCCATGACAAGGAGTTGGGGTTTCATTCTAGTTATAAGGAAAAGCCACTGGAAGGCTTGGGGCACATGAGTGAGATGCCACTGATAAGACATGCTCCAAGATTGCTCTGCTGCTGCACAGAGGATACAAGGTGGGGATCCAAGACTGGAAGCACACAGAGCAGTCAGGACTGTCCTACCCCACTGTGTGGATGCAAGACTGGGGAAAGGATGAGGGCAGCGTAGACTCGTGTCATGGCAGAGAAGATGGTGATGGATAATTTGACAGAAATGTAGTTTGCAGGTAGAACCAACCAGACTCACTGATAGACTAGACATAGGGTATGAAGTAAAGAAAGGTTCAAGGATGACTTCTCCAGTTTCTGCTAAGCAACTGCAGGGATGAGAATTCCAACTTTCTGAGAGGGTAAAAACTGGGGCAAGTTTAGGGGATGGGAACGCAGTGTTCAGTTTTAGATGGCTAATTAGTAGTCTGGGACACAAGCATGGCAGGCACACTCAATGAGAGGCCAGTATGACTGCAGCTGTGAGTGAAGAATAGAAAGATGGGAGGTGAGCTCAGAGAGGGACATGGATGCTTTTTAAAATCTGGTAATAACTTTGGATTTTAAGTGCAAGGCGAAGCCACTGAAAGCTTTTATGCAAGAGACACAGATGATGTGTTATGAAAACATTATTCTGACAATAGCATGAAAAATGAATTGTAGAAAAAGGAAATCAGTTAAAAGACATTATAAAAGTCCAAGTGAAAGATGACCTAGACTACAGTGGTTGACAATGGGGATGAAAAGAAGATGATGGATACATTTTGGAAATAAAATAGGAAGTGAACTGCATGTAAAGAGAGAGAAGAAGAAAAGGAGTTAAAGATGATTCCTAGGTTTTATGACTTGAACACCTGGACAGACAATGGTGTCATTTACCAAGTTAAGAAAAATCTACTAGCGTTTTGAGGTGGGGAGGAGAATCAGGAGTTCTTTTGGACACATTTCAATGTAAGATGTCTACAGCCAACCGAGAGGGGATTTCAGGTGGGCAGTCAGCTATGAGTTCAGAGTACCAGAATGTAGACTGAGGTGAAAACATAAATTTAAGAGGGAATTACAGACAGAGAAGAAGGCCTTGGACTGAAACATGGGGCATTCCACTACTTAGAAGTCTGGTAAAAGAGGTAAAACCAAGAGAATGAGAATAAGTATAAAAATTATATCCAGTAAAAACTAAACAAGTATTTAATAGTTTATGACCTTGTTTATAGCTTACTAATTGGAAATAAAACACCAACAAACCACCTCATTACAGTGGCTATGTGCTTGCTCATAACACTGAGGCCTCAGCAGAGTCATCCTGTCTCAGCTGCCCCTCCCATGCACGAGGGTTCAGCATGGGGACTAAGTCTGTGGGACAGGGGAATCTTCACAGTGGTGCACCACACCCTCTTGGGGAGTTCGGGTACATGAAGGTGTAGACCATGTCCATGAAATGTCAGGTGATGAGGGGCTGGGCAGACCCATCAAGGCGTGGACCAGTGGGTATAGTGGCTAGAGGGCAGGGGGAACAGTGGTAACAGACAGAGGAGTCAGGGACATGGAGTTTGGGAGATTAGTTACACTGACTGTAACTAAACTGAGGACATAAGTGATACGTCAAAGATAATGAGAGCCTAGTTTCTGACTGTGAAGAACGTACTTATAAACATGGAAAGCTTAAAGCTAGATATTGATTGGAGTTAGAGGTACTGATATAAACTTATCGTTTTATAATTTATACACAGAGGAATAGTCACAGGTGTATGTCAATATGTGTATACACACATACATATGTGTACATATATATGTACATATATATATACATATATATATATTCCCATTAGCAATGAGCACTCTATATGCTGTAATCTTGGTTTTTGGATATCATCCTCAACTAAAAAGATGCAAGGTTCCTTGCAGAAATGGCTGATGCTAGGGCTGGGAAAAGACAAGTAAAAGCTGGTCCTAGAATACTGTGTGCCAGGAAGTAAGGACTGTTCAGTGAGTGACGGAAACATGACGAAAGGACAGAAGTGCATGCTGGAAGGGTCTCCCACTCAGGAGCAATTTAAACACCAAAATAAATAATGATATTAAGAGACTACAGACTGTTAAATGAAATACAATCCACTGATATAAATGAATGCATGAATAAATGAATGGACAGATGAATAAGAGAGGAAGGGAAGTTCTTTCATATAGCAGAGTGCTAATAAATGCAGAAGAGATGAAGAGAATAAAGAATCACCAGTTGGCAATCATCACAGAGGTGGCTGATTCAGGTAGGTATCCTATCTGGATGTTAGAGTTGGTATGTGAAGGTTTGATGAGGAGTGGGATATTGGTATAACCTTGGAATAACTTTCAGCGAAAAACTAATCTATTATGATAGGGAAAATGGCAAATTTAAATGAAGAGAATTGGGAGGCACCCACACAACCAGGTGATCAAGGTTGCCTTTTGATATGATCAGTTTAGAAGAATGTAACATCATTTCTATGTATTTCTGCCAAGAATGAATGACCTAGGTCAAGTCATGAGGAAATATCAGATGAACCCAGGTTGCGAGTCACCCATCAGAAGGTAAGGCCTATACTCTTGACACCTGTCAAAGACATGAAAAAAAAAAGGAAGACAGAAAAAGAGATGGCATCTGAATGAAACATGTATTTATGAATGGAAAAATGGACCATGAAGGAAAATGAGACAGAGTTGAGACAGCTGGTGAAATGTGAAGGGGGTTTCTATATTAGATGGTAGTGTCACATGGTTCCTGTCCTTACTGGGAGGGTTATAGAGGGGAACACCCTTGCTTTCTTACACACGTGCTACCATCTTTAGGCAAGATGGGACATATGTCTGAAGCTTGCTTCAAAAGGTTCAGAGAAAGCCTAATTAAACACAACAGCTGCACAATTTTGAGTATATGAAAAACCCTGAACTGAAGAAAAGAACAAAAGAATGAAAGAGAAGAATGGGTATTTTGGGGGAAGATTGTGGTAGAAAGAGTAGAGATGGAGCAAATGCAGTAAAATGTTAAAAATGGAGGAATCTGGGCAAAGGAGATGACACTTCTTTGTTTAGCTCTGGCAACTTTTCTCTAAGCATGAAATAATTCCAAAATTAATTAAAGTAAAAAATATTGGTATGTGATCAGAAACAAACACTCTAAGAGGGGAAGCTGTCAGGAAGACCATAAATTAAAACTAAGGTGTTTAAACAAAAAATGACTCGTACCTAACCCTTAAGACTGCTAACAAAGGCCCTAGGCCTACAAAGAAATATGGAACAAGATGACAGAAACTGTAGTGGAACTCCCTTTCATGCCATCTGGTACTAACCTTCCAGGAAAATGTTTAAACAAGGGAGAAAGAAAATAAATAAATAACAGTGTCACCTGTTCTTTTACTCTCTAACCCATTTCTGCCCACCCTATATCTTGTTCCATATAGTCCTAATTACACCCATAACCTTTCTGTCCACTCTCCAAATTTTCTCTCAACTTCAATTGGCACATCTCAAATCATATCCATAATGAGACCTTGAAAACTTTACAAACATTTTTACTTGGGGGTGGTAGGTGGTATGATGCTAGGCACACAGGAATTGAAAATAAGTAGACAAAATATTATGTCTCATTAAACTACATTAACTGAAAGCCACTGCACTACACCACTGTGGCCGTGAGAGATTTTACTAGTAACTCCATTTTTAAGAATCCTTCAGAGAAATACAGCCTAAAAAAACCAAGTCAACCAAACAAAAAAGCTAATTTTGACCTTTCTGCCAGGCCATGTTCACTCATGAATGATGAAGGACCTTACCTTGGCTGCCTTAAATAACATTTCTCGTTCTTCTAAATCCTTTCTCTGCTTCTCCAGTTGATCTAGTTTTTCAAGAAATTTGAGCTGTGATCTGGTATCACTAGACAGGATGTAATTTTCACTTGCCTGGAAAACAGAATGTCAGGTGATGATCCTAGGGAACACATTCTATATTAGGTATTGTTATAAATGAGCATAAGCCTTAATAACACCAGTATACAGAGGGAGCTACATTTTCAGAAGGTAATATTTTTATTTCTGTTAAACAACAACCACAAAAGTTTTACTCATCCTTTAAATCTGAGAATTGATCAAGCATTTAAGTTTCAAAGAGCTTTCTAGTAGCCTCATTGGGCGGGGAGGGGAGCAATTAAGCCAACAAGCAGATTCTAAGAGGAAGTAGAAAGTAAGTGAGTGTACCATTTACCGATAATCTAAATCATTTTAGTTAACTTATTGTCCATCTCAGCAGACCTTAATATGATTAATTACATTTTTGAAAAGCCAAAAAACACAACCACCTAACTTGAAAATATATCAAAGATGAAAATTATCACCCTTGTTTCTGTTATTGGCCTAGTCTAACCTTACCAAGTGAATACAACTTCTAGCAAAATACAACATAAGATAAAATGGCAAACATTAAAATCCTAAACCCTTACAGCAAAGGACACCATCAATAGAACAACAAGGTATCCTACAGTATGGGAGAACATATTCATAAATGACAAATCCAATAAAGGATTGGCATCCAAAATATATAAAGAGCTCACATGCCTCAACAAACAAAAAGCAAATAATCCAATTAAAAAATGGGCAGAGGCGCTGAATAGACAGTTCTCTAAAGAAGAAATCCAGATGGCCAACAGGCACATGAAAAGATGCTCCACACTGCTAATCATCAGAGAAATGCAAATTAAAACCACAATGAGATATCACCTCACACCAGTAAGGATCGCCACCATCCAAAAGACAAACAACAACAAAAGTTGGTGAGGTTGTGGAGAAAGGGGAACCCTCCTACACTGCTGGTGGGAATGTAAACTAGTTCAACCATTGTGGAAAGCAGTATGGAGGGTCCTCAGAAGGCTCAAAATAGAAATACCATTTGACCCAGGAATTCCACTCCTAGGAATTTACCCTAAGAATGCAGCACCCCAGTTTCAAAAAGACAGATGCACCCCTATGTTTATCACTGCACTGTTTACAATAGCCAAGATATGGAAGCAACCTAAATGTTCATCAGTAGATGAATGGATAAACAAGATGTGGTACATATACACAATGGAATATTACGCAGCCATAAGAAAAAAACAGATCCTACCATTCGCACCAACATGGATGGAGCTAGAGGGTATTATGCTCAGTGAAATAAGCCAAGCAGAGAAGGACAAGTACCAAATGATTTCACTCATATGTGGAGTATAAGAACAAAGGAAAACTGAAGGAACAAAACAGCAGCAGAATCACAGAACCCAAGAATGGACTAATAATTACCAAAGGGAAAGGGACTGGGGATGATGGGTGGGAAGGGAGGGATAAGGGCGGGGAAAAAGAAAGAGGGCATTATGATTAGCATGTATAGGGCATGGGGGACATGGGGAGGGCTGCACAACACAGAGAAGAAAAGTCGTGATTTTACAGCATCTTACTACACAGATGGACAGTGACTGTGAAGGGGTATGTGCGGGGGACTTGGTGAAAGGGGGAACCTAGTAAACATAATGTTCTTCCTGTAATTGTAGATTAATGATACCAAAATAAAAAATAAAAAATCCTAAACCTTACTTTGAGAATTCCCTTAAGTTACGAACTTGGGCAGAAACTACATTCAAAGAAATTAAGTAAAAAATTTATAAATGAGAGCTATAATGCAATTATTTGTCTTAATTGTTCCATAAATGCTAAACTTTACATTATTTCATTTATTCTGGTATTCTAGAGTATAGAACAGTGCTTTCTGATCTATATTTTTCTAATTTTCTTCATCCAGTATGGACTACCTATCTCTACTCTCCAATACATATGTGCTTGTGGGGGTGTGGGGGGCAATCTTCCCAATCAATATTTAAGACATCCTGCCATCTACTCATCTCAGTAATTTAGATATCCAAGCTATAGGAGGGAGGCTGTATAATAGGAAAACAATGTTTTTAAACATTTAAACATTAAGTCCAACAGTCAGTGCCTGGCCTGGAACTCATGGGCACAGCACCGTTCCCATCTTTGTTCTATCCCATGCTTATGGCTGATTCAATTAACTGGGACTGAGAGATTTCATATGCCCAAGATTCTTTTTAAATTAAATTTTTATTGTTGGTATTTAGCTAAATCAAAAGAGTATTACGTAGTATAACAAACAAGAATGTATTAGTGCTACTTATTTTACTTCGTTTAATACAAAAAAAGTCCTCAAATGCTTTTTAAAGTTAAATACTACAAGATAGAATATGGAATATATTATACGCCAAACATAGAGGCATAAACATAATAGCAAGTGGTTTCTTAAAGACATCATCTTACTATTTTTATGTTCAGATACTCCTGGAGATAGTTTACTGACAGAATTTAACTTTAAAAAGACAACAAGAGGAGGTGGAGTCAAGATGGAGGTGTGAGTACAGCAGTGGAAATCTTCTCCCAAAAACACATAGAGCTATGAAAATATAACAAACAAAACTCTTCCTAAAATAGAGACCAGAGGACACAGGACAATATCCAGACCACATCCACACATGCAAGAAGCCAGCACCTTGCAAAGGGGGTAAGATACAAGTCCTGGCCTGGCAGGACCCGAGCGCCCGTCCCCCCGGCTCCCGGCGGGTGGAAAGAAACT